CTGGTGCAAGTATATGGAAGGATTCTGTTCCAGACTCCAGTTGTCTTTTGCCGAAGCTCAGACTCTGGCACAGGATCGGGAAAATTGGAGGCTCTGTCTGACGCGCCTGCCTCCGCGACCCGAAAGGAGAAGCGGCGAGGGAAGATGAAGATGATGATAAGAGTTCCACATAACACTCTTGATAACTCACTTTGGCTACCAATACCTTACTGACATTACGCAATGCAATACTGCTCAGCGTTCAGTGCCTAAATGGTCTTGGATATTTTGGCTCACCCTATTTTGTCTCAAGCTGCTGGTTGTTGTTAGCGTTTGGACTGGGATCGCCGCTTTGACTTAGTAACACTGGTAAGCTGTACAACGGCATTATTCAGTCCATCATGTTATGTATCAATAAGTTGTTCTTCGGGAGTGGAGTACGATGTCATTGTCAGACTAGTGAATTTATTATTACAGTTTCATCCTAATAACTAGGCGATGTCAATTTACGTCGTTGGCAGATGGTGATCTCTATAAATTACTTGACTTCGCCCTTTATATTGCCAATTAATGGAAAGCTCTCTGAGAGTGGAATGTGATGCCATTGTCAAACGGAATATCGGTGATTTTCACCTTATTTTATTATTTCATCGTGGTGACTGCACGAGGTCGATAAAGTAATACACAGTCATTGTTCGGGAATCGGAGTTTATGTTTATCGCAGGTGGTCAATCTGTATTATTTATTTGATTTGACCCCTCACGTTACACATTACTCAAGCGCTCTTTGTCAGCAGAACATGAAACTCCATAAGCATCAGTTTGAAAGTGGGCATTTCGTCTGGTGATTTTACTGTGACGATTACATTAGCTCATCGAGTCAGCTATCGTCAGCGTCATCATTATCAGTCATGAGTTTGAATTTACAAAGCGTAGGTGCACCATCACGAAATGCCCTTTCTATTGGTATGTATATACATAAAAATGGACTTTGATATTAGCTTGGCCTGCCTAAATATCCGTCTAAACTCCTGAAACAAAGAGACTGCGACTATGCTGTGTAAATCTGGAGAATTGGCAGGAAATTGTTACCGGGGTATCGAAAACTGGCAGCTTTATAGTAAACCCGTAATACTGGGTTATGTTTTTCTATATGCTGTTATTTAGAGGTATGGTACATAAAGGTTCGCAGTTTTTACCTGAAAATTCACCAATAGGGTTACACGACTTTGCGAAATCTTCCTGTGTTCGTACATGTTAGTGGGCCGTCTGCGAAGGTCCGGCATCATTCAGCTTATTGTACTGCACTTCTAATTTAAGCACTGCTATTTTTGACAACCTAGGTGGCAACGAGTTGTGTTATAAAGTGTACTGAACTATTCTGTAAATGTGTTAATTTTTTATTTTTATTACACGTGAACTTTTCCTTAGGTCAACCTGCAGATCAGGACGTCTCTGGTTATGAGGATGTGACAGAGTCCATTTTGTGTTCAGAAGTACAGGTAGTGGACAGCGGTGATCAAGACATCGTAAAACTCCAAGTGCGTCAACCAAGACAACAATGTAACTCAGTGCAGCGTTGTTAATTTGCGTTTTTTTCTTTAAGGATTTGGTACACGGGTACGAAACACAGAACCAGTTTTTGAATAAGGAAATTCTCGAGCTTCAGAACGTCATACGCCATTTAGAAGGTCGTGAGAGTCGCATCAGTCGACGATGTTTTGATGTCGAGGCACAGTTTTACCAGCTGAAGAGCCGGTACTTGTTGCTGCTGAACCATTTTCAGCCAAATAAAGGTAACCGAAAATTAAATACTAATAATTTTGCAATGTTTATGTTAATGCAGCTTACCTGGGGTACGGGATAATTGTTATTTTACTTTGCGAAACCATGAATGAAAAGTTTCAAGGGTTACTAAATAATCAGTGTAGTATTAAAGATTTACAGAATATTCTGACAATATTAGTGCTTGTTTACGTAATTCTGAGATCAAGAACTCATGAATTGGGTTTACAAAATTGCTGTATACCCGGGGCAATATTATATAATAGAAGGAACAGCGATCATTCAAAATACGGGACCCAACTATCATATTGGAGAAGATGGATGGTCGCTGACGAGTGTGAGCGTCACAGTGAGAAGGAGGATTCTTGAAGAAAAGTCACCTCTTTAAAGTGAAGCTCCACTGTGAAAAGAGTTATGAGTCATGCAGCGTGCGACACGGTGAAGGCACTTCTGTTGGTCGTGGTGCACCGACATCCTCACGAAAACTGAACGGTTGAACATTCTCATCAAGGAGACATTAGCCACATCCAGTTCTGTAATAACGTAAATAGTCTTTAAGGGTTAGAACTCTTCGTCGGCTGGACGAGCCACGCCGCGTCTGTTGCTGAAAACTCTTTAACTAGCTACACGGAGGAGGATTCGCTTTATGGCTCAGAATGAACTAGCTGCCGCTGACGAACTGAAAGTCAAGATCACTCGTGCGATACTTGTCGAAGCGTTGAAATAAATCAATATCCTTAAATAAGTGATACCGGATTTATACGGCGAAACTGTAAAGTAAATGGCTGACTTTACACCGATATTACGGTAGTATAAGACGAATGGTCAGTAGTCATTGCGCCATGTTGCACTGTCCTTTTGCTTTAGTCGCTTAAGCGGACTCTTTAAGCAGGCCACATTTCTGCGGCACTGAACAACTTGCAGTGCTTAGTATGCCGATCGCGTCATTAAGCTGTGCTGAATAAGGGTTAGTCATAGCTCCAAAATAATTGTTACTCTCCATCGGCAAAATACGACAAAATGAAGGACACATCACAGATATTTCGGACAGCTGCAAAGAATTACAAATTTCGGATTCAGCCGGCTAATAAACGTATTAATATATTCAAAAAAGACTAGGTAAAACGCTTTATTTCCGGACGCGTTTCGGCGTCGTACGTCAGCGTCATCATCAGAGTAACGCTACACCAATTTTGAAAAAAAAGAATGTTTAAAAATTTGAATGACAATGACGTTTGAATCATTTGTTGTCCATTAAAGTACAGTCCTTTGGTTTGACGAATAAAACTTTCGTTGATAAAGTGACAGCAAGCATCAAAACGTTGGCCATTGGCTAAAAAAAGCCTTAT